GAAGAAGTACTGGCTGCCAGTGCGGAGCTGGAAGGGGTGTGCCACCCGAAATTCAGCACCATCATCATCGTCAATGGTCACCACAGCCGAGCCGTCCCGTGACACCAGCTGCACCGAGTGCCAGAAGCCGTCGTTCAGGCGATGCCCTGCGTGGGGAGAGGAGGGTGCATGGGGAGGCACTGCCACCAGACCGGCCCCCGGTGCTGCCCCGGCTCCCCAGCCCACCTGCGGCAAACTCCAGCTTCTTCTTGCCCGGCTGGGTGATGGAGACGTTGACCTGCCCCTCACTCAGCACCACCTCCAGGGAGCCCAGGCGGTCAGCAAAGCTGGTGTAGAGCAGGAGCCCGGCGGTGTCCCAGGAGCGGAAGCGGAAGCTGACGGCCAGGCGGTTCCTCCGTGGGATCCCCGGCACTCGCACGTAGTTGTTGATGCCAGCGAAGGTGATGGGATTGTTCAGCTGGTCCTGGCAGTAGTGGCCCACGCTGCCCTGGAGGCGACCACAGGAGGCAGTGAGGAAGGGGATGCTCCTGCAGTGGGGAGACCCCCCCGCAGCCCCACAGCCCCGGTCCCAATCGCTCCCACTCGATCCCGTCGCCTGGCAGTGCCGGGCAGGTGCCCCGGGCCAGGGATGACCTCATGCGGTCGATGCGGCACCGCTCGGCTGAGCACGGCTGCTGCCCGGCCTCATGTCACCCCACAGCAGGGGGGGGAGCCTGGTCTCGGGGAAAGGGTCACCCCACAGTGGGGCTGAGGACCTGGCCCTCCTCCAGGAAAGGGGTCCCTCCACAGCAGGATCAGGATCCCCGGGGAAGGGGCCACCCCCTGGGCTGGACCTCAAAGCGGATGTTGGGTCTCCGGTGACGGGCCAGGTCGGCAATGTTGACCCCGTTGAAGATGATGTTCTCCACGCAGCCCCGGAAGTTTTGCCGGTAGGTGAGGTGCTGCTTGTCCTGGTCAATCACCCCGCCGAAGAAGAGCTGGGGGACAGAGGGAGGGGGTCAGCGCCGAAACTGATGTGCAGGAGGAGCTGGGCCTGCTTGAGCTCCACCGTGATGTAGTCACCCTGCGAGCCCTCCCCGTGCATCAGCACCCCGTCCTGCTCCAGCGTCTTGAAGTTGAAGGAGATGTCATCCTCGAGGGTGCTGATCCTCTTGGCCCGGAAGCGATAGGAGATGGCATCGTCCCCGTCGAAGTAGAGCACATGGGACCCTGGGGAGAGCAAAGTGGCTCCAACCACGTCACTGCCCACAGCAGCAGGCGCCCTGGCACGGGGAACACTCCCTTCTGCTGTGGTTTATGCCAGAGCTAATGACTGCAGACTGCTTGGACACAATCCCCTCTGGGAAAGGGTTTTCCAGCTGTGCCAGAGCCAGGGGCTGGCCCTCTGCCATGCGGGTGGCCGGGCCAGGGTCCCACCCCACGCAGGGCTGTCGAAGCCCCCGGGGCCCCGCGCGGGGGCCCCAGCCGTAGAGACCCAGGCGCAGCCCGATCTTCCCACGTGGGTTCCAGGCCACCGGGATGATGCGGATGTAGCGTGCAAGGATGGGGTAGTGCAGGTCGTGCCGCACCACCCCGCTCTCATTCACGTTCCCAAAGAACGTCTGGGGACAAAGCAGGCCATCAGCACCTCACTCTGGGCTGAGGGTCTCCACTCCCCCCATGGGACTCCATCCCGCAGGGACCCCCGGGCACCACCCTACCCAGTTGCTGCCCTGCTGGAAAAAGGGTTTCCAGCTGGTGGGGTGGTCTCCGAAGAGCACGATGTAGCGTGTCAGCCAGTCGTAGGTGTTGAAGGTCCCCTGTGTGGCCACCGCGTTGATCCGGTGCTTTTGCATCAGGTCGATCTGGAGCCAGGGCTGCTTGTCCCGGGGGTCAGGGGACCAGCCACTGGTGCCTGCGGGGAGAGTGGCTCAGCCGGGCCC